GAAAGGAGGAACAGGCCACAATTAGGTAACAGCAGAATGTAGTTACTCAAGCAGAAAAAGTTACCCGAAAAAATGCAGAGAATGATGTGTTTAGTAGCACCAAAAATCTCCAGTGAGCTAGTTTTATTTTTTTTATAGTACCTGTCACCATGGTAGCCAAATGTCTGTAGCAGAAAATATCATGTATTAGAGGTATTAGATAATGGATCCTCACAAACTGTAGCTATACAGAAAAAAAAAAAAAAAAAAAAAAAAAGTTACCTAGTAAGATAAAAGGACACTACTTGAATTTGTTAAAGGTAAAATGAATGTAAATTTGTAGGGTTTTGGTAAGATTTAGGGAACAAGACCTGTTCCTCTGAAATGCAATAAATCTCTGTTTTTTACCCTATTCTGTGCAGGGGGCTTCTAGATGTCTGCATGAGCACCCTACATAAAACACCCTCCTCTTAATTGTGGCCTGTATAAATGAAGAAGCACCAAAGCAGATGTCAAGATACTCATCAAGAAGGAAAAAATAATCCCTCCAACTTTTGACAAAATAATTTGTAACTTCAGCTAAAATCATCCTGACCCAACTATTTCAACCTCTGACGAACTGTTTCATAAACAGGACCTGAATCTCTTGACATTTACTTCTCAAAACATATTTTATTCTGTATTTAAATCACGCTGTCTATTTCATATTTATTTTGTAACTAAAATGGCTTTCTAGCAATAATTATCTTCAAAACTACAAGGAAGTTTGCCTCCAGAAAGCTGTTTTTGAAGAGCCCCACAAAATCTTTCTCTCTGTAATACCATTGCTGTAGAAGCAATTCATTGTGCAGATAATGAAAAACTGTTGATTTCTAACCATGCTCCAAATTCTCCAAAATACACTTTTTTTCTGTGTTATCTGCAATAAAATGTCACATCTAGGGAGCAGAAAAGGTTAAAAAGCTGCATAAATGAGTGTGGTTTGATACTCATCCCTTATTCTGAGCACCTAGGCTATAAATGAAACTAGAGATTAAAGCAATTATTACATGTATGTGTTATGGACTTTAATAGAAAAGTGACCTGATAAATAACTTTGTAAAATAAATATTCTAGATGAACTGATAGTAGAAAATATAACTCCTTATGGGAAACCAAAGTCCAGGAATAAATTTGGATTTTTTATGCCTGGATGAGCAGAAATGGGAAACAGCAGAAAGCTGCCAGTCAGTTTTGAAAAGAAAACGAGCAGGTTAACTACCATTAGTCTAGCTAATATATTCAAAGTACTTTTCCTTTTGTACAATGAGTTCTATAGGTTGCTGCAATATGACATTTCTAGTCCTGCTCCTCCCTTTTTCATTTATTGGGTGAAAAGACCTGCTGAGATAAAAGTAAAAGTAAAAAGGAATGCTTTTAGCTAAAGGAAAAAAAAAAAAAAAAGAAAAAAAAGCGCGCAAATATTTTATCATAGGAGGGGATTCATTCTTCTTTCAGGTCAGTATTTTTCTCTCAGCATGCCCCCACAAGTAGAATAAGAAAAGAGGCATTTTATCCCCAAATCCATCAGAATATGATGGGTGCTTCTGAGTCTTAGGTAAATAGTGCTGCAGGAAATATTTGATCACATATTTTTTATAACAGAGCTGATTTGCATTGTCCTAGATTAAAGTATAGGCATAGGGATTTCATAGCTGCACATGGTACTCAGTATAGAAACACCTATTTCATCTTCGCAAGCTCTTTTCTGAGGGCCTTTGTAATTCAGGAAATGCGTACTCTGTTTTTAATCTTCATAATAACCAAAGGATAATGAATCTAAACCACACTTTAGTAAAGTGAGAGAGGAGGATGTGAATGGAGAAGTTTCAACAATGGTAGGGTTTTGTGTTCAGTTTTTCAAATAAAAGCTACACATCTATTTTTCTCAAGGGCAGCTCCTTGGGGAATGATGGTAGAATCTGGAAAACTTTTATGGGCTGAGACATGTCTGTAATAGTGTTCTATCTATATTAAACACAGGTCAGGGAAAACTTGAACTATGAAAGCAAAAAAATATTTATTTCATTCATTGCTATATTTTATCCTATACCTTGTTTTCTTATAGTTTTTCCCATTTCTTTCCAATTTGATGAATCCATTTATTATTCTTTCCTCCATTGTTCTCTTTTCCCAATGAGCATCTTTTTAGGATGAATTAATATGAAGATAAGAAGATGGTTTGTCTGGCATTTCTGCTTTGAATGCTTCCAGTAAAAAGGCAGATCAAGTGTTCCAACAGCAGTATCCCTGTTCCCCCTGAACACAGCATCACTGAGAAAACTTGAATCCTAAGTCCTTCTAAACAATGTCAAATAATTGTTTGATACTTTTCCAAAAGGACATAGTGTCCTCTTAGCCAATCTTTTTTTAAGAGGAGGTTGTCCTGGGTTCAGCTGGGATAGAGTTAATTTTCAGAAGAAGCTGGGAGCGGGCACAGACAGGACAGCTGCCCCAAACTAACCAAGGGAATGCCTGGTACCATATGACATCATACACAGTATATACCTGGGGGAGCTGGCCGGGGGCAGGAGGGATCATGGTTCAGTTCAGGCTGAGAATTGGGTTCCAGGTGGTGAGCAATTGCATCCTGCATCACTCACTTTATACGTTCTTTTATTAGTATTACTATTATTATTACTTCTTCTCTCCTTGTGTTGTGATATTAAACTGTCCTTATCTCTACCCCGAAATCTCTACCTTTTTCTTCTGATTCTCCTCTCTGTTTCACCAGGGCAGGGAGGACTGAGTGAGCAGCCATGTGGTGCTCAGTTGAGGGCTGGCTTAAGCCAGGACAGATGTGTAATTAAGCTTAATTTTAATTTCATACAGAAATCATCTGCTGTATGCTGCAGCACAATCTCTCCGCTTCTGTGAGATGTAATGGGTGGTTCATTTAATCATATAATTAAAAATATTATTGGTGTTCACTTAGCTGTGTGTTTTTCACTGTTCTGCTTCTTTCAATAGGATTAAAAAAAAATACAATGCAAAGAAGCATTAAGTCAAGAAGCTTAGAAAGTGAAAAAACTGACTTGTGGTGAGTGTTCTTAGTATTTAGCAAATGCTGACATCTGCATAGGAAATCCTCCAGTGCTGTAGACTACAAAGAAAATGAGGGGGTAGCTAAATATGCAGAGAAGAAGATAAAGAGCTCTGCTATATGTAATTTTTTTCCTCTATTCAGACTATTATCCCCAATGAAAAAAAAGAAATCAGGATGAGTTTAATACCAACCTATTTATACTGAAGCCAGCCTATTTGTGCTGAAGCTACCAAATAAGAAGCATCTGCATGTGCATGAGTGTGTACACATGTGCGTGTTTTGTGTGTAGATGAATAGGTAGCATGTGGCCTCATAACCATTGTAAGGAAAGATAGCAATTGCATTATTATAGTCTTCATGCTGTAGGCAGTATGAACTGGGAGCCTACTCAACCCAGCAGAAGTCCAAGGGAAAGACTGTATCACAATTCCCATAAAGTGCATGAAGGGTGCCCATCAACCTGTGCTTGCTGCTGCTTCCTTAGCCCTTCAGTGCTTGTGGAGATGATGGCACTGAAAGGTTCTCTCTTCTCTCAATGTTCGCTTACACTATGAACAGCATCTCTTTCTTACAGAGCATGTTTGTGATCTATCTCACAGCAATAACCTGACACTCCTGAAGGGCAGTGACAAGCTTTGTACTGATTTCACTGCAAACTGCAGTTCATGATATGATAAAATCAAAAGAGAAAGAAGCAAATAGAGCCAAAATGGGTTCAAATGGCTGAATACAGCTGCCAATATAATACTTAAATGCTATTGAAATTTTTAGTCACCACCAATTTTGGAAGCATTTTCTTATTTGTTAGACTGCTAACACTACATAGACTCCTAGATCATGTTCCTGGTGGAGGTATGAGAAGTTACTTACATGGCAGCATCAAATAGTTCAGAGGAAATAGAGTGGTCCATGGGATTTGCAAAGGGCAGTCTCTCTCCCACATCACTTCTTTCTAAGGTTTGATCAAGTGTGTGCTGACTATATAACCTGTACCTAGAAGGAGAGGAGGCACCTTACGTCTAAAATTCTTAGAATACAGTGATCAGTGTGATAGCAGATTACCTTATTATTAACAGATTATTTTAAGATTACCTTAAAATATTTTAAAATAAAATTCTAAGCCTTGATTTTCAATTACATCATGTTAATTTCAGTGATAGTTCACTGCAGTCTCTGGATGTCTACTTCCATGAGCTATTGTTAAACTTTTCCCCTACCTCATGGGAATTAGTAGCCTAAATTCTTCTGAGTAACAGGTTTTACTCCTTTTACACTTACCAATGAAAGGTGATATTGCAGTAATGTAAATAGTGTTATGAAGGTATTACTAAATAAACTAGTTTAATACTTAAATTAAATTGTGTTTTCGTTGTTGGTCATAGTTTTTCAATTTATTCTTATACACATGATTTCCGTGTCTGAGTCAGCAGTATAAAGGATCTTAATTCTAATACATATATAAAAGGAAAGAAACTGAAATTATGCTTAATTCAAGCTAGGAAAAGTTTACTCATATTCATATGTATTTAAGGTGATAAATTTGTATTGACAGACAGAATACATCTAGTCCTGAAAACAAAGACAACTTATGTTATAGCTGGTCTTTTATCAGCAGTGGAACATTCATACAAGAGAAAGTATTTAGTATAACTGATGTTTTATATGACTTGCTATACCAATGAAACACACCCAAAAAACCACAATCCAGAAAATTCTGGAAACACTCATAGTCCCTTATTTGTTTTTGTTTCCACTTCACATTCTTTATTTTGTGTATCAGCCTTCACATATGTTTCCTTTAATGTGATACCCTGTACAACCTTTAAAAAAATTTCTTGAACTTACAAGTCTGTACTGGGAGGTTTTGGTAGTGGAGGTGACAGAGTTGGCTTCTATAAGAAGCCTCTAGAAGCTTCCCATGTGGTAAATAGCGGCAATGCTAGATGGCTTCAGGACAGACCCACTGGAGACCAAGGCTGAGCCCATCAGCAACAGTGGAGTGCCTCTGAGAACGTATGTAAGAAGGGGAAAAAATGCTGCACAAAGGAACAGCTGCAGCAGGGAGAAAGGAGTGAGAATATGTGAGAGAAACAGCTCTGCAGACACGCAGGTCAGTGAAGAAGGAGGGGGAGTTGTTGCTCCAGGCTCTGGAGCAGAGGTTCCCCTGCAGCCCGCGGTGCAGCCCGCGGTGAGGCAGCTGTGCCCTGCACCCAGGGAGGCCCATGGTGGGGCAGATCTCCACCTGCAGCCCAGGGAGGACCCCACGCCAGAGCAGGCGGATGCCTGAAGGAGGCTGTGACCCCGTGGGAAGCCCACGCTGGAGCAGGCTCCTGGCAGCACCTGTGGCCCCGTGGAGAGAGGAGCCCACGCTGGAGCAGGTTTGCTGGCAGGACTTGTGACCCCGTGGGGGACCCACGCTGGGGCAGTCTGTGCCTGAAGGACTGCACCCCTGGGAGGGAACCACGCTGGAGCAGTTTGTGAAGAACTACAGCCCATGGGAGGGACCCTACCACGGAGAAATTTGTGGAGAACTGTATTCCATGGGAAGACTCCCACACTGGAGTAGGGGTAGACTGTGAGGAATCCTCCCCCCAAGGAGGAAGTGGAGAGACATGTGATGAACTGACCACAACCCCCATTCCCTGTCCCCCTGTACTGCTGGTGGGAGCAGGTAGAGAAATCGGGAGTAAAGCTGAGCCTGGCAAGAAGAGAGTTATGCGGGGAAGTTGTTTTAAGATTTTGTTTTTATTTCTCATTATCCTACTCCGATTTGACTGCTGGTGATAAATTAAGCTAATTTCTGCAAGTCGAGTCTGTTTTGCCTGTGATAGTAATTGATGAGTGAGCTCTACCTGTCCTTATCTCAAATCACGAGCCTTTTATTGTATTCTTTGTCCCCTGTTCCAGCGGAGGATGGGTAGTAATAGAGTGGCTTTGGTGGGCACACTTCCTTCTCCAAGTGATAGAGGAGCAAATGAGGAGAGGTGCTGTGCTGGACAACCTTGTTCTCACCAACAAGAAGGGGCTGGTGGGGAATGTGAAGCTCAAGGGCAACCTTGGCTGCAGTGACCATGAAATGGTGGAGTTCAAGATCCTTAGGGCAGCAAGGAGGGTGCACAGAAAGCTCACTACCCTGGACTTCAGGAGAGCAGACTTTGGCCTCTTCAGGGATCTGTTTGTTAGAGTAGAATAGAATAGAGCCCTGGAGGGAAGAGGGGCCCACGAAAGCTCGTTAATATTCAAGGAGAACTTCCTTCAAGAGCAATGGAAAATAAAGACAGGAGGCCTGCATGGGTGAACAAGGAGATCCTGGACAAACTCAAAGACAAAAAGGAAGCCTGCAGAGCATGGAAGCAAGGACAGGTAGCCTGTCCTTGGAGGGGTAATACAGAATAACTGCCTGAGAAGCCATCAATCTGGTTAGGAAGGCCACAGCCTTGATGCAATCAAATTTGTCCAGGGATATCAAGGGCCACAAGAAAAACTATAGGTACGTTGGTGATAAAAGGAAGACTAGAGACAATGTGGGCCCTCTCTGAAAGAAAACGGGAGATCTGGTCACCTGGGATATGGAGAAGGCTGAGGTACTCAACAATCTTTTGGTGAGTCTTCAATGGTAAGTACTCCAGTGTGGTGGTTTAAGCCCTGCCGGGTCCAGAGAGCATATTGCTGTTGCCCTTCCCCCACCCTCAGCCGGTCAGGCTGGAAGTGAGGCACAAACCCTGGGGTAAAATAAGAAGAAATTTAATACAACAGTGTGATAAGCAATCTGAACAACAACAGTAGCAATGATAACAACAATAAACAGTAATGGCAGTGAACAAGACAAAAGATATACAGGGAAATACCGCAATGGATACAGACAGCCCTGTGCTTCCTGCGACAAAAGCCACAAAGGAAAAAGTTCCCATGCTCCCGCACCCGGACCTGACGTCAGCATGGTATGAATAACCCGGCTGGAGATCCCTTCCCCCTCTCTCTCTTAACACTATCCCAGCTGAACCAGGACATCCAGCCACACTGCCCAAGATGCAGAATGTAAAGTCAGGGACTGGAACAAGAACTGCCCACTATAGGAGAAGATCAGGTTTGAGATCATCTAAGGAACCTGAAGGTGCACAAGTCCTTGGGACTTGATGAGATGCATCTGTGGGTTCTGAGGGTACTTGCAGATGAAGTGGCTGGGCCATTATCCATCTTTTTTAAGAAGTCATGGCAGTCCATGAAGTTCCCACTGACTGGAAAAGTGGAAGTATAGCCCTCATTTTTAAAGATAAAGAGGAAGGCGCAGGGAACTACAGGCCAGTCAGTCTCACCCCTATGCTAGATCACATGGAAAATAAGGAAGTGATTGGTCACAGCCAACAGGGCTTCACTAGGGCAAATTGTGCCTGTCAAATTTGGTGGCCTTCTATGATGGAGTTACAGCGTTGGTGGATAAGGGAAGAGCAACTGACATCATCTAGCTGGACTTGTACAAAGTATTTGACACTGTCCCACATGACATCCTTGTCTGTAAATTAGAGACAGATGGATTTGATGGATGGACCACTCAGTGGATAAGGAATTGGCTGGATGGTCTCACTCAGAGAGTTGCAGTCAACAGCTCGATATCCAAGTGGAGAGCAGTGACAAGTGGTGTTCCTCAGGGGTCGGTGTTGGGACCAGTGCTGTTTAACACGTTTATTGGTGACATGGTCCATGGGATTGAGTGCACCCTCAGCAAGTTTGCCGATGGCACCAAGATTTGTGGTGCAGTTGTCATGCTGGAGGAAGAGATGCTACCCAGATTGACCTGGACAGTCTTGAGAAGTGGGCCCATGCAAATCTCATGAAGTTCAAAAAAGCCAAGTGCAAGGTCCTGCACATGGGTCAGGGCAATCCCAAGCACTAACAGAGGCTGGGTGATGTGTGGATTGAGAGCAGCCCTGTGCAGAAGAATTTGGGCGTATTAGTGGATGGAAAACTGACTATGAGCCAGCAATGTGTGCTTGCACCCCAGAAAGCCAACTGTATCCTGGGCTGCATCTAGAGAAGTGTGGCCAGCAGGTCAAGAGAGATGATTCTCCCCCTTTACTCTGCTACCATGAGATCCCACTTGGAGTACTGTGTCCAGCTCTGGGACCCCCAATATAAGATGATCATGGACCTGCTCAAGCATATCTGGAGAAGGGCCATGAAGATAATCAGGGATCTGGAACACCTCTCTTATGAGGACAGACTGAGGGAGTTGGGGTTGTTCAGCCTAAAGAAGAGAAGGCTCTAGGGAGACCTTATAGAGGCTGTCCAGTACTTAAAGGAGGCCTACAGGAAAGGTGGGGCAGTATTTTGCTGATTAAAGATATCAATTAAACTCAGACACCAGAGTGAAAAGAGGATGTGTATTTTACTGGGGATAACCAAGTAATGTAACAGTGTAATACAGAAAACATGCAGTAAGAAAAAGCAGAATAGTGCACTTAAAGCAGCAAACAGGAAAATACAGGGTAATGCATCAAACCATTACTACACAAGAGAGAGAATAGTGATTAAGACAGACACATCACCACTTGCACACATTCCCATCACCCAGCCCCGCAGTGGCTGGGCAGCCCTGGTTACAGCGAGGGTTTGCAGAGCCTGTCCCGGCAAGGGGGAAATCCTACGCGGTGCGTCCCCCATAGGTGAGGCTGTCAAAGTCGCTGTGAGCGGGTCCAGCCTTATATACCAGAGATCGACAAGCCAGAATAGCTGGCACCTTTGTTTTGAGTGGAGAATTTCTGGTTTCATTCTCCTGTTGGATTCCACCCAAAGCCTGGCCAGGGCTCGGGGAGGGGGGGAAACCAAGGGAGTTTCTACCAAGGCCAGATACTTGGGTTCTCAGCCTTGAACAAGGCTAAACCAGGGAAGTTGGATACATTCTCTCCTCACTACTCATTATATTTTGTCTAAGCTGCATCTTTCACTAGTGAGCTTACACACTTTGTTAATGATTACAGACTAAGTTAGCAGCTTCGGCTTGGGGCCTGTTGTTTAGGCTTCAGTATTTCAATGCTTTATCACTTTTTACATCAGCATAAGTGGGTTGTTATAACTTAGTACAATACCTACTAGCACAATGGTTTCCAGTTATAAAATAGACAGGATTCATCTATAGGTCAGCTCTGGCTTGGGGCTGTTGTCCAAGTCTTAACACTTCAGGCGGGACTCTTTATCAGGGAGTGGAGTGATAGGAAAAGGGGTAATGGTTTTAAACTGACAGAAGGTGGATTTAGATTAGATATAAGGAAGAAATTCTTTACTGTGAGAGTGGTAAGATACTGGAATATATTGCCCAGAGAGGTTGTGGATGCTCCCCTCTTGTCTGTGGCAGTGTTCAAGGCCAGGCTGGATGGGGCTTTGAGCAACCTGGTCTAGTAGAAGGTGTCCCTGCCCATGGCAGGGGGGTGGGAACTAGATGATCTTTAAGGTCCCTTCCAACTCACACCATTCTGATTCTATGACGCTATGATCATCAGTGTATTCCAGGAACCTCCTGGATTGCTTATGCCCAGCTGTGTTGTCCCTCCAACAGACATCTGGGTGGTGGAAGTTCCCCTTGAGGACCAGGGCTTGTGAACATGAGGCTGCTCCTAACCATCTATAGAGGGCCTCATCTGCACATGCTTTCTGGTCAGGTGGCCTGTAGCAATCCCCACTATAAGGTCACCTGTCTCTGCCTTCCCTTTAAACCTGGCCTACAAGCTCCTTATCCATCCCCAGGCAGAGCTCCATGAAATCCAATTGGCTGACATAGAGGGTGACCCCCTCTCCACACCTCCCCTGCCTGTCCTTCCTAAAGAGCCTGTATCCTTCCATTCCAGTACTCCAGTCATAGAAGGCATCCCACCACATCTCAGTGATGTCAATAAGATCATAGCCCTGCAGGCAGGTGTGTGCACATCTCTAACTCCTCTTGTTCCCCATGCTACGTGCATTTGCATAGAGGCATTTAAATTGGACCCCCAGTGAAGCTGATTATAATAATAACAACT